GAGACTTCGGTTCGTTGGCCGTGACCAAGAGAGCAGGAGAATCGGAGCACATGGCTACTACATGTCTAAGTCTTCAGACCTCGTATCATGCAAAAGGTTAAACAAGAAGACTCCTTGCAAAATTTCAAGCTAGGAGACCGTGCTTTGTCCTTCTCTGGTCGGCGTTGTGTCAAGAGCAGGGAACCCTCATGCTGTGCGGGTCGTGTCGGGTCTGTTCACCGGTTCGTTCCATTATGCATAGTTTTGATTGAACTCTGTGTCGACTTCCTCGGCACCCTAGTCCATGTCTATATGCCTCATGTTGTATTTTAGCACGGCCGAATACAATCTTGTCAGTCAATGACGGGCCAGGTACTACATTTGGACAGAGATCAGCATGTAGCAAACATCACAGATGGACAATTGCATGTGAAAGAACTTTTGTTGAATTGACTAATTGGGTATAGGTACTCCCGGTGATTAGTTATACAGATGAGACCGAGAATGGTGAATGATTCAGGAGGCCGCCGCATAGGCAATTATTTCCCGGGGCTTTTCCAACACTTGGTTCTTCCCCGCCAAACCATCCCTAATCTCAGGTGGCCCTCAATGGCCCTCAATGACCCTCAAGGAGGACTTTTGGGCGTTGCATGAGTGAAGAACCCATTTACAGGACAATGGCGCCGACGATGCCGGCAGCGGCAGCGGCAGCAGCGACAAAAAGTCCAGTCTCGCGGGGTGCGGCGGCAGCAGCAGCGGCAGTGGTAGAAGCAGCGCTACCGGAGGCAGAAGCACCAGAAGCAGAGGCAGATGAGCCGGAGCGAGAGGCAGTGGCACTGGCGGAAGCCGCGCCGGAAGCCGTGCCCGTGGCGGTCGCGGCGGAGCCGGAGCCGGTAGCAGTGGCAGTAGCATCGCCGCTGGTGAGGACGGCGAGGGCGGTAGAGCAGATGGCGCTGCCGTAGGCGTCCAGGGCGGACGCGACCTCCGGGACGTCGCTGCAGGCGGAGTAGATGTCGCGGATCTCGGTGATGTGGGCGTCCTGCCAGGACTGGAGGGCGGAGGAGTAGGAGGTGATGATCTGGCCGGCCTGGCCCGTGATGGAGGGGAAGACGCAGGGGTCAGTGATTTGGGGGATGTCGAGGTTGGTCTCCGTGGCGAGGGCGGTGGGCTCGGTGGGGAAGTCATCGACGATGGTGGAGTGGGCCATCCAGACGGAGGCGCAGGCAGTCTTGCCGCGTGCCTCGAGGGCGTCGTTGCCGGCGCGGCGGAGGACACGGGGGAGGGTGCCGGACATCTCGAATGCCATTGCGCCGGTGGCAGCGGCGGCGGCGAGGAGGAGCTTGGACTGCATTTTTGGAAGAGATTTGGAGCGTTGTCTTTCGAGGGAAGCGAGAGTCTTAGGTTGTAAAGACTGTAGGTTGTCGTGATGTTGTCTTAAGGATTGGCTGCTTGGGAGAGTTGGAGAGACAGGATACACTTGGAGTTCGATTCAAGGGCGGACTGGAGGGGAGGCGCGCATGCCTTTTATTGAAGATTGACAAGGAAGTCGGCCGTCACTTGCATCCTTCCTCCTACCCTTGTCAAGTACATGAACATCCCTGCTCCATTCACGTCGCCCAGCATGCCCAGCAGCTTCCCATGCACCCACGCTCGCCCCGGCGAGCTGTGAGCGATGTTGGGAACCACAGAACGATGCCTCCAGTCTATCCAGGTGTGCCACGACAAGACCTCTAGCGCAAGGTACCTACCCGTCAGTGGCCTCCAGCCGAGCCGCCGAGACAAGATGGTGGCTCAAGTGGCTATACTCGAAGTAGTCGTTCGCCCCAGTGCCCCCCTGATACGGGCAGAAGCTGAGAGTCGTGAGTTGTGACTAGGTAGAGTGGTGGACCTTGGCCCTGGTACCTACTAGCGGTTGCTGCCTGCAAAAGCCTGAAAGGGGGATGGAACGGGATATTGGCAGGAGATGTTTGTGATGCAATGATCGGCCATTGCCTGCCGTCGGCAATTCCTTCGTGAGAATATGATGCCGGGGGCGAGAATTCTCGAATCGGCTGGCCACAAGCACGGCGCGTAGCGTCACGTTGAGGCGAAGCCGCGAAGCTAGGGAGAAAAGATTTAGTCTAACGGCAATGCGGCACTCCAAAAGGTAGCAGGGTCGCATTCCCTTTCATCACATCAGATTCACCGTATCAAATATTCGCACCCAAGAGGGAGACATGCTGGCCCGCTGGGACGAGGTTCATCACAACTCGTAGCTCTCGATGGAGCAAGCTTCAAGACTCTCGAAATGGACGGCAACCTGCAGATATCCATCCGTACCTGAATTCGCGCGCTCTGCACGGCGGCACGCACGGTTGCATGGGGTGATAGTTTTCGTGGCAGGGCAACCCCTGTCCGTACCCGGAGGTGGGAGTTCCTAGCAGATTGCCTTTTGCAATATGCCAGGGATTCAAGGCTTTTTTGTTGCTGGTCTGAGCTGAACATGACAATAAAGGAAATTATCAATGGCGATCCGATATCTTTTTGCGTTTTTCTATGGTTTGGGGTCAAAAAGTCCCTTTCTCTGCCTTATTTACTCGCTTAAACATGGATGAGTATGGAACGCATGGGACGTTTTGATGGATCATGGGTACTGGGCTTCTTCTCATGGATAATGGAGGTTCCATGTTAAGTGGTCCTGGGCTCGCCTGATCGTTTATGACCAATGAAGCTTCTGGGAACACTCCGAAGCCATCAAGATTGCGTGGGTCCAGCGATGGAGACTTCAAGTTGGCTTGATGGAATGTGATTCGTTGTGGGACGTAAACAACAACTGGGAGGTTTCAAACTTTCAAAGGATTTGGCTCGGGTCTTTACCATCCATGCAACGTTAAACATGCTGTTGCTCTTACATGACAACTCTTTGCGATCGTGAAGTCGGGCAACTTTGACGGTTCTATCGGTCCCTTCTCACCATGGCAAATTGGATGGGTTGGCCAGTCGGGTACGCAGTACATAAGACAGCTTTCAGAACCACAAGTCCACAGAAGGATGTTGGTTCCCCGCATAAAAACACAAAGCTGTGCTTAGAGAGAGTCTGGGCTTAAGTCACGGCGAGATGTTTCCCCTCCTTTCTCCTTCTCGTCTCATGCAATAGTCTGCATCCGTAAACCACCAGAGTTATTAGCTGTGCCGCAATCCAGCAGTGATTTCCCGTCAGCTACCTTGTACGTTCAGAGACAGCGAACGCCGATAAACCGGTAGCCGTTGCCGCTGAGCCGCGATTCAAATTTCCCTTCTTGCAAGGGATACACACACAGCTACCGTCGGTAATAACTGCACTGCATTGACTGCTTGGCCACCTAATTACCCTACAGCTAGCTACCTGCAGTAGTTCCTTTCTGTTGCTCTCTAGCCTCTTCTGGCCCTGTTCGGGGCTGGATCCGGCACTGCCTCGCTACGTTGCATTCATACGGTCGCTAGTGCTGACGGCGGCATCTCGAGCGCCCTTCTGTCGGCCAACCACGGCTGGCCCTTCACCCTTCTGACATGTCACCACGTTCAGAAGGTTTTAACCGTCTGCTCCTTTTTCTTGTTTGACGTTGTTAGTCAATCGCTGGTAAGTACTCCGTAGATGATGTCGGGTTTGGGGGCTGCGCGCGAATATTTCCCCGACATGCCCGACAGGGCGCGCCTGTTGACGTCGATCCCTTTTACGTTCGAGTCAAAACAGTGGTGACAGTTGAACCAACAGAAGAAATGGTCGGTCTTGGCAATGAGGCTCGATCGCAAAGAACCACCTGTTAGGCTGCTGGAGACTTGCCACCCGCGAGCGGAAGAATTGGGAGGAGAAGGCTTCGGTATCGCTACTTTGTTTGGAATAGAGCTTCCAATAGTGCAGCCCTAAAGCCCTGTCAAAGTTTTCTTTAACGTCGGAGAGGCATGACATGCTGGGATCTCGAGATGTGATGCTGCAAACCCCTGAGGTGATCTCCGATATTGGCGGTTTTCCGATATTGGCGGTTTTTGCCGAAACCCGCCGGACCATACAGGCAAGACTAGATATTTTCAGGTGGGCATGAAGCACCATGAATATCATCTCGTACGGTAACCGGAATGATGATCACAGGTTGAAGGCTACCCTGCTCTTCGTCTTTAGGGCTGTGTATGGAGGCAGGTTGACGAGCACTTTTAGGAAGCACAATATATTCTGAAAAGGGCTTGACAGTCGCGCGGCTCCCATATTCCCAAGTCAACGACTATCGCTGACCTTTGGTCTACTTTCTTCTACCTTGAGTAGCATGCTTGAGACATAGTGAGTGTAGGTACATTCGGGGTCAGCTGATCATTGGAGGGAACTGGGTTTCATGCGAAAGAGATAACGATGGCCTACACCAATAGATGCAGAGTTACACAGAGCGTTCGTCATCATATATCAATGTCCACCGAGGAGAGTTTACGAAACAAGTGAATGCTTTCTTCTAGGTAGTGCCAAATATACACATTTTGTCGTCGGTAAGTCTCAGCCGTTACCATTACGGGCCGCGTAGTTTAGAGTTATGCTCAAAGACCAAGGCCGTCAGCCGGTGCTGACGCTGGCGTAAGCCACCTCCATCAGCGCTCCAGCCATTCGACGTCCGTCTCTTGGTAGGGCTAACATGCATCACGACGACAAGGCTCTATTCGACCGGACCACCGACCACCGTCATTTGGCCACACAGCAGCTCAGCAGTCATGTTGCTGACATTGGCATATGCAAACGGCACGTCACAGCACCTGCGCGGTGTCTAATTCTGGCCTTGATATATTGCTTAAGAAGAAGTGGATGCCCAGTTGCGGGGGGAGAGCTTGACGGAGACTTGAGCCTCCAACTTTAACCATCAACAGTCCATTATGAAGACCTTTTCCAGCTTCGTAGTTGCCACATGCTGGCTGTTTGTGGCCTTGACGCACGGCCACACAGTTCTCTCCTACCCAGGATGGAGAGGTAACACCTTCATCACAAATAAGACATACCCCTTCGGAATGCAATGGACCTATCCATGTACGTCACCAAGCTCTCTTACGTCTTGCTACACAGACCAAAGACAAGAGCACGCATCTTTAGCTATCCAAAGGCTGACGTGACCCCTCACCACGCAGGTGGCGGCCTCGGCGTGACGCAAAACAGAACCCACTGGCCCATCAGCGGCGGCGCCCTCGCCGTCCAACCGGGCTGGAACTCGGGACACAAGACGGCGCTCATGTACATCAACCTCGGCCTCGGCGAGTCGCCGAAGAACTACTCCATGGTCATGGTGCCCCGGTTCCAGCTGACGGGGCCCTCGAACCAGGAGTACGAGGGGACGTTCTGCCTGCCAAAGGTGCCGCTGCCGGCTGGTGTGACGCCCAAGGAGGGCGATATGGCGTCGATACAGGTCGTGGAGGCCGCACAGCATGGTGCGGCGTTGTTCAGCGTACGTTGTCTGACCAAGTGTTACCGTCTTCCCAAATATTTCATGCCTCGTGAAAGTGCGCAACGCTACTGGGATGGGAAAGTGCGAGATGAGGTCTTGTGGCTGACTGTGATAGTGTGTCGATATCATCTTTACGGAAGACGCGTCCAAGGTTACCCCGGTGACAGCGGATAACTGCTTCAACTCGACGAACCTCAAGGTTGAAGCGGCGACGCTCGAGACGAATTCTTCGCCTATCACTGATCCATCGGCACCGGCGACCACGACAACTACTACACCGAGCGCGTCTCCAACTAGTGGGGCTCCCCGGTTGACGTCAAGCTTTTTCGGTCTTCTAGCCTTGTTGTTGTTTGTTTGAAACGCTCTGGCAGTCGATGGTTTTTGACGTACCCGTATGTCGCGGAATAAAAGTTGAAGTCTTGCAACATTGTTACCCTTTGTGTTCGTGGAACGGGATTATTGCAGATACGTTATTATACGGAAGAATAAGATGGAGACTTTGAAAGGCGGAGCATATACTTTCATATCCTTCTCAATTCACGATATGCAGAAAACGCGTTGATTCCTTAGGCAAATCCATGAACTCGTGCTCCCCACCATTAGACCTTGAAATGATTAGACCTCCCTATCCAGAGTCCACATGTCGACCGTAAACTGCTGTAGCTCGCAATCGCTTGATGTTTGGCCTGCCCTGAGACATCAGGCATGCTGTTCTGCCAAGTAGTAGAGGGTCTTAATTATTCTAGCTCCAGGTTCACCTCCATGCCTCCCCACTCAATGACGCGGAACTTGCTCTGGTCCTCCATCCCGTCTACGTCGGTGCCGACCATACTGAACTAGTCAAAGTTCTCCAGTTTCGCACGATTATCTTCGTTCTTACCACTGACTACGCCTCTCAAGACGAGAAAGACCTTGGCGATGGTGTTCGGGTTCAGAGTGACGGTCGACTTTGCTGCCTTGTCCAAGTCGGTCTGCGGGATGAAGTTGAATGCAATAGAGCTCCGTCGAGGTAAGATACAAAGTCGTCGAAGGATAGGACGTAGTTGTTGGCGAAGTATGCTAAAGGGGTTTGGGGGTTGAAGGTGCAAGTCTCTGTGACTTCGCGTAATGGGTTGACCAAGGCATCGACTTCCCAGGATAGGTAGCTGCACTCCATGTTTGCGGCGGTGTCCTTCGGGAAGGCCCTGGCGTCGGCACTCAAGCGGGATGGTTTATAAGAGGTAGATTGCTGATTGAGCCCCGTACGAATCAAATTGAGAGTGTCGTTGTCGGTGATAGAGTACCTCTCCAATGTTTCGTCATAGTCTAATTGCAGGCCATTGAAAATGATGTCATATTCTTCAGGGCATATACCCACTCTGGCCTCTACGGCAGTTTCGAGTTCTTAGACGGTGGCGGCTGGTGAGATCCTCAACGAAAAGGTTTCGCCAGTCACTCCAGTAACGTATCAGCTGGCTATCTGAAACTTTCTCATTTTCGTGCTCAAAAACTTACAAGTCCTGACATTGACATTAATGACCATCAGGGCTGATCCGGCGATGTCACCAGAGCACGCTCGTTTCCGCTTGGGCGCCTCCTGAGGTTTATCCTCGAGCTTGATGATCGGAGCAGCCTTTGGCTCCAAGCGAAGGACCCAACCGTCCTCGACCGCTCTGTATGCTGACTGATCAAGTTCAAACTCCGGTTCTCTAGACTTCGAAGTGCAATGAACAGTCAAGTTGACCGCTTTGCCCTAAAGGCATTCCGAGCGTCATTCATGAGTTGAGGGTAGGTTTCTGGACGGGCGGTGAGACGACGGCGGTCTCTGAAGACCATCATGATCAAGGGAGTTTGAGACATCGTGAAGAATGATCTCCAAGTCGTCAAGAGGTGGGCTATCGGTATTTATATTGGCGAAAATCCGGCTCTTTCGTTCGGGTAGATCGGTAGTTTGATTGGAGTCGGGGCTAGGCGAAGCATAGATCGGTTGACAGTTGTGAGAGTGAAAAAGTATGAAAGAGAAATGAACTTGACCAGGGGAATCTCAGTGAGAAATGAGGGCGAGTGAGTGAGGAGAAAGAGTCGAGACTGAGAAGGCGTGAGAGAGAGGTGGGAGGTTGAAATGGAAGGTGCTGGGTGCTCCTGCCTGCTTCCAGTATCCGTCATAGGGAACGAAGAAGACACCGCAAGTAGTACCTTCCTATTAAGACGTGCCTTGAACTCAGCAATTCGAAGGTGAAGATTCTGAAAATGCAGACACGCCTGCTGGAGAAATCTGAGAGGATATGGAGCATCAAAGAAAGATGAGGTCGTATGCTGCACGTGACCTTTAGCAGGAGAAAAAGCTGTTCAGTTCGAGACGACTGGGCCTTTGTGGTACAGAATATGTCATTTAAACGGCTTGATACTCAGGCTAATGATCCAGCTTCTCCGGGATGGATCTCCAGTACTCGATGGCCTCCCTTCGAATATCATCCTTCTCGAGCCATGTCTCATTCTTACTCACGTTCACCTGCCACCCCAGACCGTCTGAGCCTGGTTCAAGGTACTTCTTCCACTCAGCGGCGCCTGCAGCTTTGAACTTATTCGGGTCACCACTAACAACAAAGCTGGCGTAGAATCTAGATAGAATGGTCCCAGCTTGCGGGTATTGCGTATCCGGCTCGGCCCAGGCATACGGAACGTCAGAGCCATGCGAGATCCCGAGGTATGAGGCCACGCTGTTGTTGGTGTTCCAGTGCAGTTTCCATACGGGAACTTCTGCGGCAGACAGACGCGTCGCAATCTCCTGAGAGGCGCTGATGTAGGACGTTTCGCCGTAAACCGCAGTGAGTCGGGTGAACTGAGCAGATTGGCCCCGGGAGTCTGCAAAAGGGCTTGCAGGATCGGTCTCGGGATCCGGATACAGCCGGGAGAAGACCTCTCTATCGCTTTCGTTGAGCCCGGGATAGAGATTGGAGAGCCATCCCCATGCTTCATCGTCCGTGGTCAGGTTGGTGGGAGCGTACAGACTGCCCTCGTCGGTGATGAACGATGTCAGCGCCGGCAGGTGGTTCCATGTGTTAGAGTCCCAGGTTTCGGACGGGAGACGCGGAATGATGACAGCATCTGAGAAGCAAGTTAGTCTTACCATATTTAATATCATTATCCTGCAAGGCGGAGTCGTCGAGGAGAATGAGGAATACTCACCAGACACAGGCTGGAAAGGATGGGTGCCGTTGTATCGATACGCCGCTAGCAAAGCAGTCGCCGTCTCCTCAAGCACTTCAACATCCACGGCTCTCAAGCACGAAAGCAAATTCTCAGCGGTTTCATTACTCTGACAACCAACTCCGCTCACATACTGCTCAAACTGCCTAACCGTTAACGGGTCCGAAGCGCTGGGAAACGACCGTCCCGTTGGACCGCCAGACTGGAAGATTGCCTGCTGAAATAGCTCTTCGCCAGGAGTGAAGGTATTCTGGTAGTGAAAGCCCACAGAGTGAGCGCCTGCTGACTTGCCCCCCAGAGTGACGCGTTCGGGGTCACCTCCAAATGCGGAGATGTACCGATGGACGAAGCGGAGAAGCTGGTGTTGATCCTGGAGACCGAGGTTGACGTTGCCGAGGTCTGAGAGGACGGGGTTTGCTAGGAAGCCCAGAGCGGCCAGCTAAGAAGTCCATATTAGTGAGAATCCTCAATTTTGGGATATTGAGAATGGACATGCTCTGTAGTTGAACGTCACGACAATCAGTGGTTCTGGAGAGGAGGCAGCGAGTGAAGCTCCGTCAAAGGTGATGCCAGCGCCGTTGCGGAAAAGGCCCTATGAACCCAGTCAGTTGGCAATCAATTGGAATACGTCATAAAAAGGTCGGAGCGAGACTCACGCCATGAATCCAAACCAAAACGGGTAACTTCTCATCAGCGCTCACGCCCGTCGGCCTGTAGACATTGAGGTTGAGGCAGTCCTCGCCGTACTCCAGTGCGGTCGTGATAAACGTGACCAAGTTTGAGTTTCCAGGCTCTTGTATGCAGACTTTACCATACGACGTGGCGTCCTTTGTTCCGTTCGAGGAAGATGGCCAGCCGACCGGAGCAAAACGAAGGTCGCCGATGGGTTGTTCTGCGTAGTCGATGCCATACCATACGTCCACCGGACTCGCAAGCGGGTAACCGGACGTAGTGTTAAATAGAGTCTTTCCGACATAGGATCCGTACGATGGGATATGAACAACCAGAGAGCTGTTGCCGACGATTGGACTTCCCGATGCAGCAGCAAAGAGCAAGGTGCCAATGGCTCCAGCCCTAAGCCAGGAACCGCCTTGGGTATGCGACGCGAACATGGCGACGAACACAGACGGAAACACGGTTGAAAGAAGGTGAGTTGGAATAACTCTAAGAGTTGGAAAACCATTTCCAAGACCCCCTCATCCACCATTTATATGAGGTTACATGGAGAGATAGAGCCGATTCCATGCCGGTGGTTTGACCCCTCTTGTCGTTGACATCCTTGTAAGTCCCACAACCAAGGTCGAAGTCCCCGCCAGAAACTGATCGCGCAAGAGCTGTCTAAATGACGAGACTTGCAAAGACAGAAATTGTTCGCATTCTTTGAGTCGGCTTTCATTGTGCTACCTCTCATAAGGGCTGGAGATATTTCAGGTACAATAAAGTGGCGGTTTCCATTGGTCAATGCCCTTCATAAGTCTCCAACGCCCAGGTAGTCGGTTAAACAATGAGTGCATCATGAGTGATTTGATGCTGTAGATCTCCAGGAGCCCCTGTATTTGAGATCTTGGCACTCAGGAACGATTCTCTTCAGCACATCTATCGGCAGCTATCAATGATCCATGTTCAGAGCGATAGGCAGGCTTTCGGAGAGATAGCGAGCCGAAATCTGAAGGATCAAAAATGAAATCTGGACCTTGTTATCGCGAATTTCAGACCCTCGTTATCAATATCTTTTCCCTCTATCTTGATATTTGGGGAAGCTTGAAGCAAAGTTGAGGAGTGGTGTCAAAGACCGAGAACGGCTGGACCCGCCGCGCAATCCGGGAACAATGCCGGCACCGCAGCTTCGTTTGCCTACCGCAGATGGGCAGTGCATCAAATAACATGGGCCAGACCCGCGGACCTGGATACACCATGAACTTCGCATAGATGCCCCGTGGAGCCGATTACCCTGTCAGTAGCCTCGCGGGCTGCAGCGACACATACACAAGCTCAACATGACGGGATCTGTAACGCTGACAGACGTTGTATCTCATTATTAATCGAAAGAAACCTCATCATTCCCTCAGCTCCCTCTCAGCCGCCTTATGTATTTTGCTTGGATATTCATGTTGACCATCACGTCATAGCCTCACTAGTCTCTATACACACCCCGACCAACCACATTTGCCTTACTCTCTATTCATCATCACCGGGCACCCTCCTGACCTCTTGCTATCAACAACATCAGTGTGCAATTTGCTTATGTCCTCCGCCGACAGCTGGACATCCTGTGCCACCGCCTCATCGAACCTCGCTTCCGGGCCGCGGTTATCAGTCTTGGCCTCCTTCTTCACCACGCCATCTGGGGCAATCTGCCGGAACATCTGCAGTGAGTCGAACCATGTGTCCACGCCCTGCAGTCGCAGCTGATCGTCCACACGCGCGATCGTCACACCTTCAATGTCGATCTGTCCACCATGAGCCTTGGCGGTGACCTTGTCTCCTTTGCTGTACACGTGCATTTTTGTCAGTCGCAGTTACACGGCCACAACCGAATAAGAAGAAAATGACAGATGTCTGCTAAATGAGGGTGGCAAAGCAGAGGCACGTCGAACAGAACAGTGTGAGGGAGGGGGGGGGGGAGAGCACACTCACTCGTTGAAGCCGACGTAGTCATTCTTCATGACCCCCCAGTGACGCCACTTGAATGCGATGCACGGCGGGCCACTATAGACCTCAATGACCTCCCAGGCGAAAGTGGGCATCATGCGCTTGAACGTCTTGTGACTGGATGCAAAGTCTGAGTAGTCTGGGCTGTAGTACTCGTTGGGCGTGATGACGGCGTTGTAGGTGCCGACTTTGAGCATGTGCTCGCCCGTCTGCGGCGCACCGCCGTTCACGGAGAAGGTGTAGTTGGCGTGGTCGACGGTCCTCCAGTCGTCGAGCTTGGTCTTGAAAGAGGCTTCAACCTCCCAGTTCTTCACCAGGTTCTCTACAATCTCTTCGAGACTGCCCGCCTTGTGGTTCATCTTCCTCCCTAGAGAAGTAGTGTTGTCAGTTTGAGGCCTCCCAATAAACCGGGTGGATAGAAGTATGACGTTTTGAGAGTGATGTGATCTTACCTTCTCTCCAAACTTTGCGCGTTTTCGTGTAATCTGGCGCCCTGCCGTATCTCCACTGCACACCCTCATCGCTAAAGACGGCGTTGGGGGTGGTGACATAATCCGGCAACGCATTTCTCTGCGCCGCCGCGGCCTGCGGCATGGGGTCCTGAGCGTTTACGAGAACCATATTGGGCGATGAAAAGCTTTCGGCGTTAAGGAGTTTCGAAAAGAGTGAGACGAAAGAGGCTTGTTGGCTCTTTAATAAGTTCTTGGAGAAATCTGCCACGGCGGGGCGTTTGTTGTCGCACGCAAGTCGGTGGTGAAATATGTCTTAGATGCGCGTGGAAGAGAGGAGAGACAGGGGGCGTTATACAAGTCCTTTTTTCTTTTCTTCTCCCCTCCAAAGAGTGGTGGCAATAATCCTTCAACCACGGCCTTTTCCTGAAACGGAAATCGCAGCGTGATGGGGAGAAGGAAGAAAAGGCGAATCACTTGAGGCACTCAAAATAACCTTCCAGTCTGCGCCGCAGGATCGGGTGGGAAGTTTTCTGCAATGCGTGCTGCAATGGGACGGACGAGAGCGGGGCGACGAAAGGGAAAGCTGGGAGACGTCCGAGCTCGCAGATTATCTTCGGAACACAACCAGATCCGTGTGCGAGAAGGGTGGCTTGTACAACGATGAACGTAAGCCTGGAACCCAAGCTGGCTCAGACAGTCGAGCGCCAAAGCGAAGGCGAAGAGTTGCGGGTGGTTACACGGGCACTGTGCGCACCGCAGGCGGCAGAAGCAAACAAGTTCAGATTCTGCAGTTTGATACGCTGAGCGTCGTCCCGGGAAGCGAGAAGCCCTGGGCTCATCTGACTTGATCAGCAATTTGTCGTGATTCAGACATTCCGATTGTGTGGGAGAGAACAATGGAAACCTACATGATGCAGGCGGCGCGCAACGAGGATGAGGGAGAAGCCACTCAACCGGTATTAGGGCGTTATCGTACGAGGAGTAAGCAAGATCTCTTCGCCAATCGAGACTCTTTGTGCGGAAACTGAGAGCGCAAAAGCTTAAATTTGCTCAAGGGAAAATTGACATATCTCATCATCACGGAGCACGAAGCCATTCTTATGTACATTGGCAGAGAAGCCTTCACCGGCACTTGAGTATCACCAATCCTGGCGGGGAAAAGAAATTATAGAACAGAGGGAGAAGCGAGAAATGTTGACACTTGTTGAGCGGACGCAGGGAGAGAAAGGGAGGCTGTCATATCGACTCCCTATTGGCTCGACCGAAAGTTAATAATCAGCCAGATCGACGAATCTAACAACCTTGAACGGGGCCCCTCCCCTGAGTTGTCTCTCCTCCCCCAGGAGCGAGTACAATGTCTTTGATTTATCACGTCTGTCTGGCTTGTGGGTTGCAAGAGTTGTCTCAGTCTGATAGCCACGCGGATAGGAAGGCAAGCAACTTTCCGAAGCTGCGGCGGCCAATCGCGTACCGCAGTCCCAGACAAATCGATTTGATCTGGCGTTAGTCACTAGTCGGGGATGTCGGGGGGTTGGCTGGCACAAGAAGAAACGAGGACGGCGTGCTAGTGACACCTTGCCTCGTGGTTTGGCACGCTGGGAAAGTGAATCAACGAACTTCGCCACGCGACAATGGGGCACTCGATGCCGTACCACCCCCCTTTTGAGTGTCATCATCATCGGCATCATCATCGATGAGACGGAGAAAAAGTCCTCGTTCCCGACCTGGAATGGGCCCCTGTTCCCGACTTGTCGATAAAAAGAAAGTAAAGAAAAGCCACAGAAAGCCTAGCGCTTGAGACAATAGACCGGAACGCGAAATGGGGGCGCTCTGGTTGGCAGGAGATAAAGTCTTGAACCCGTGAAGTCGACATTAGGATCCTTGGCCGTTGAGGGACGCATTCCAATCAAGCCCACATGTCATATATCAACTAGTGGGATGAAGTTGAATGGGCCACACATGCCGTGCCGCCATAGTTTGATCATTGACCGGATCATTCGGTATGCGATTCGGCCTAGCCGTCTCAGACACAACTTGTGCCCGACAGTCTCCTGTGGTCGCACACATCCATGGGTAGATCCAGCCACAGGCCTCCCGATGTGGTTGTGCCGAGGGGCCCCGCAATCGGACGAGCCCTGAAAGTGGAACCCCGTCCGGAATGTGTCATGAGGGCGGGACGGGAGGCGCCTCCGTTAGCGGTCAGATGTTTATCCCTCTCGTCGACTAGAGTCTCCCAGAGTAGTCATGTCTTGTCAGCAACACGCCGCGAGGCTTGCTTCCTTGATTGTGTTCAATGTGTCGAGAATTGTCTGGCGAACTGCTTGGATGCACACATGCCCTCGGCTTTTCCAATGTAATCTCACATTGAGATTGAGACTGTTCGGTGTGGATGGTGACCATCACAATCCGCAAGTCGCCTTTTTACTTGTTCTCACCAACAGGAAAACACCAGCTTCTGCAATAGACCGTCTACTAACCTAATCGCGATGATATGCCCTTTTCAGAAAACAGGGCATCCCAAAACGAAGGCCGAAGTGCCATCAGAAGCCCAATAAGGCTGGTGTCAGCAACCGGCGTTAGAGTAGCATACTACCGCGCGGGTAATGTATTTTATGCGATGCAATTTAAGTAGTTGCCAACCTTAGAAGTCAATTCCGCTTTCTGTGGGCCATTATAGTTGCTCCGAGGCGGGAAACATCCTAGCAAAGAGCCGATCTGTGGAGAGCCTGCAGGTACCGTCGCAATGGCATCGAAAGACATCGGATGCCGCCGGCTAGATCCTAGCCATACTGTACCAAGGCAGATAACTTTGCTGAACAGCTGTGCGGAGATCTGGAGAGCCGCCCCTCACTCGGACCACAATCGCTTCTAGATTTGCTTGCAACCTTCCGTGATGAGCTGTCAACAGCCTAATTGTCTCCACGTATAGGACCACTGTTGGTTGCGCTTTGTAACAATTTGATCAGCTATTGAGAACTTTTCAACCTGCCAACGGATATCTGACCATTGTTAGACGGAATCAAACTGTATCCGAAAGGTTCAATCACTCTTGAGGGTTCGAAAGTGATTGGTATAAATACATGACACAGTTCACGGACGAAATCGAGAGACACACCCACATTGCTTTCAAACACATGATTCGTCTTCTCCCAACGACAAGCTTGACGCCGAACTTTCAAAATAATTTAAGCCTTGAATCTCTCAATCTTACTTTGGACACCCTCTCCAAGCGATTATCATGCAGTTCACCATCGCCACCCTCATTGTTCTCGCCAGCGGCGCAGCCGCTCAATTCTGCGGCGTCGTCACATCACCTGTACAAAGCTATGTTCCGTGCACATTGGAACAATATCCCGTGATGGATGCCGAATGCACGGCAATTGGCGGCACAGTATCTGGCCACAACCAAGAGAGTGGAGATGCTCGGTCCAACTGCATCACGTACTGCAACAACGTTCCCACCGGCGGACACGACACGACCGGTAACATCCTTGGCCGTCACAGCTATCACGTCTACGTCGTCGACTCGTGCACTAGCTGTGGCTACTGCGGCGCTCTGTAAAGGATGTCCACCAGATAATAAATCGATCAAAAGACGAGAGCAGCCACGCTACTTAGGTAACGAAAGAGGAAACAGGCTGGGTTCCGCGTGAGGTTACATGTACGCATAAGAGGGCTGGGAAGATGGCAGGTCCTGGCGCTCATATTTCAGTATTATCTACTTTATCAAGATTCAAATAAGACCCTGTAAATTTCAAGGCATTACATCATACGAGAGCTACCGCAAATGGTGAAGTTGTCTCCGTTTGCAGACCGTACTAGAAGTTAACAGGTTCCAAGCGCTCGTTTGCTTATTGTGTGATGACAGCAAATTATCAAATATGCAGTACAGCTCGAAGACTGTTTGGTCCACACCCGGAGGCGGAGGCTTGATAACACTGACTTTACGGACGGGACCAGATGCGCAAATGCTTCTGGCATACCCAGAACACCATTCGTGGTGATTCTAGTTGCCTGCCATCCTCGACTTCACCTTGACGTGGAAGTTCTTAGGCTTGACGAACCATGCGTTGCGTGTTTTCCAGGCACCTCTTGGTGTAGCAGCCGCACCTTCAAGCTTGAAGTCAAAGTCCCGGATAAGTCGAGGAATGAGCTTGGACATTTCCAAGATAGACACATTCTTGCCAAGGCATGTGCGTGATCCCAGCCCAAACTGGAAGACGGTTCATGTTAGATATCATATGCCCCAAGAGAGTTAGGTAACCATAAGAAAACGGTGGTTCATCTTACAGGCATCCAGTTTCTGTTCATCACGGAGATCCTTTCTTCATTCTCAATCAGCCAACGATCGGGGTTGAATTTCTCGGCATCGTCTCCGAAAATGGCTGTGTTTCTGTGGTGGACCCAGCTGTTGATTCCAACAACGGACTATCAAGAACGGTTGAATGGTTAGTGATCACCAGTTGAGGACTGAGAACATGGGAAGCATTGACTCACTCCCGCCGGAAAGAAACGCTCGCCGATGGTAGCACCGCCCTCGGGAACAATGCGCTCGAGCGGCAGGCCCACAGCTGGATGGACGCGCAAAGCCTCCTTGATCACTGCTTGAAGATACGGCATTTTCTGGCTTTCTTTGAAACTCGGTGCTTGAGACAGCTCGCCGCGACTAGTGAAGTCTGCAATCTCCTCGCGAAGCTTCGCCAAGGCATCAGGGCTCTTGAGCAAGTGGTAAACAATGGCTGAGATGCTGATACCTGTCGTGTCCGACCCGGCAAAGACATTGCTGGCGCAGCCGATGAGAAGATGCCAGTTGGTGAACTCAGTGGGGTTGCTGGAGTGCTTGGCCAGGAATTTGGTGAGGAACGTCTCTCCAACAGCAGCGCCGTCTTCGGCACCTTTGACCTCGATGACCGTCTTTGGAGAAGCTCGCTCCTCCTCAATGGTCTGCGCCGTAAAATCTATCACATACATCATCTTCGCTCCCATGCCCAGACGCTTTGTGATGCCGGTAACCAGTGGTGCAATGTACATATGCACGGAAGGAAAGATACCAGTCAAGCTCGAGTATACCAAGCTCTTATTGATGTTGTCAATGACCTGTGCAATGTCTTCGCCACGATCCAGGAAGCCGAGACGCTTTCCGTAGGTCATCATTGCGACAGCATCAAAGGCGAAGCACTGGAACCAATGTCCGATGTCTACTGTCGAGCCAGCCTTGGCAAACTCTGAAAGACGTTGAGAAAAGAGAGCACCGCACTCATCCACGTATGGCTCGTAGTTCACAAGAGACGTCATTGAATACGCGTTGGTGTAGAACCGTCTGCTGTGAGCATGACGCTGTATCGAGCGATCCGAAAATACGTTCCATTGATCCTCATTCGGCTGGAACGGGATGTACCATTCTGACTTCTGGAATTGCGTACCATGGCCATAGACAGTCTTGAGGGCTTCCGCGTCGTTGATACTGTATCGGTTCGGGCCGTAGCGGACGATGGGCCCTGGCGAGAAAGGATAAACTTTAGTACATATACTCCTTGCTATCGCTTGACGCTCTTACCGTATTGTTCGTGTAGTTCTTGGTTGACCTTCTCAAATTTTCCCTGTTTAAGGCGATGAAAATACCAAAAGTCTGTGTAGCGAGCCAGCAAAGGTCCGGGCACCGATCGTAGGGGGGAGCGAAGCCACTGAACAAAGGAGACAAGGATCTGGGCAAGGAGGGCAAAGCCTGCAAATGCCAATAAGAGTTGGGTATTCATCGTAAAGATGCTCGTATAAATTATGAGGAAGATAGAAAGGCAGATGAAAAGCTCAATATTGATTGATAAAGCAGACAATTCGCGTGAGAGCTGGTCTCGAGCATTCCTCGAAAGCAGATGCACGAGAATGATGGGCTTTTGTAGCGGAAGAGTCATCGTATTTGCCCATCCTATTTGAGACGAACCGACTTCGTCATGGATTGTCAGACATGTACGCAATCAATCCGCAGCGTCTTGAAGTTGAAGATGTAAAGGCGTACGGCTTACAACTATCATTGGTGCATGGCATGGGACGAGTCATAGGCGATCTTAGAATGCTAGGCTATGGAGACAGTCTTGGGACCGAAACCTTGTCCAAAGTGTCGAATAGCGTGGGTCGAAATAGCAAGGCATCCTCCTTGCCCGGTATGCATGGACACCTAAGTGGATCAGCATATGTGACATGCAACCCCAAGGCGGGTAGAAGCGTCAATCGTGGATAGTCGGACTGGTATCTCACATGAATACTGAAAGATTTTTCTTGAGTTAATTTACAGGGCTACCTGCGCAGGATCCATTCACAAAAACCAACAAGCGGAGTAAAAGGCCTGACTGATCGCTTGAGTTCCAATATCTGGGAACTATCCGCCACGAACCTGGAGATTCTCGGTGTCAGACGGGGGAATCGTTGATCTTGGCCGGTGTGTTTTGGGTTTTCTGGGCGCCGGGACTCGGGGATGAAAACTGTCCGAGACCGACGTCCGCCCCGCAATGCGATGCATCAGCCACCTTGCGGCCGGCCGCGGAGAGGCGGCGGGAGTGGAGTATCGCGGTGTTTGATTAAGCCGTTGACCGTGATGGCGTAGGGCCAATCTTCAAGGCTACGAGACGGTGAATTGATTAAGCTATCTCCTATGCCCCCGACACTTGAATCCGTCGTCCGGAGTCTTCAGCTCAAGAGGCACAAAGTGAGTACCAAGCGGCGATTGCTCGCCTGTGTCGAGGCTCAATGTGATAAATCAAACGGGTTTTCTCAGCGATTGCCGCAATTTACTTCACCTGCGTCTACCTTATTTGTGTGCGTATTGTGATGATGAAAGAGAGGTTATGCATGCTGCTGGAACGGGAAACTTTTTTCAATCAATATGACAGTTGCAACGTACGGGTGTTTCGTGAGTAGAAAGTTTTGGCTCTTCCCATGTTAACAAAACTGAGTTCTCGATATAAGATCTGGCCCTTGACAAGGCCAGACGTATTTGGAGTGACGTAACAACGCAGCATGATTTCCCGTTGCCTACCTGACAAAAAATTTATGGGAAGATAAATCCAGTTGCTTCGAGTGACCATCACGCTAGATGCCGTAGCGAGCAGCTTCTTTGAAACTTGGCTTTTTCAAGATATGCGCGTCACAAAGTAGCCCGAGACTACCTTATTTAACCGTAAGATCGCGTTCACTTACAATAGTAAGAAACGGCACCCAACTCATCTCAAAAGAGCCCCAAACCTCAATTCCCTGCGTCTTCCGTCTCCTATCAAATGCATGTAAGTCGGCTTAAACATCGCCGTTAATACGCCGCCCTTGTCTTAGTTGCGAGTTGCCCGTACCCTGAGTAAGCAGGTTAACTCGGTCTTTACGCCAACCCAAACCCGCAAAGTCCACCAGCCATTCTTGCTAAACACCTTTCACACTCGGCATTGGAAGCTTTTGTTATGACAGATTCAAAGAATGAGCGGAATAGCTTGCACTCGCACACCAATTTGACAGGGTTACTCATATGCGTCTCGAAAACGCAGTCTCGTGATTCAATGCTCGATCCTCGAATTTACAACCAACCAGACTCCGCGCACACAAAAAATCCTCGAAGCTCTAGCCGACAACCCGCATCAGCAGCGCCTCCACCTTATTGAACTGTATCCTTCGCCGAAACTGGTAGGTGACGATGAGCGATCATGTAAACGTAAATTACGATTGGTTGATTTGATCTAAGTGCACTGTGACATCAGTCGCTATATATGCGCCATTTCCTCTACACAACAGGCGGAACAGCCAAATTGGAGGGAATCCTGCCCGCAGAGCCACCAGCCACATTCTTGGCAGGGACGTTCATCTGTGATCCCTTGGCGGCCATCTTGTACGCTTGGACATCGGCGTCCGCCTTACTGGTGGGTTGTTAGTGTTGTCAAATTTGGAGGGTGGATAAGCCAGGGCTCTCTTACGGGTTAATGATCATGACCATGCCAAGTTGGCAGTGCATGCCTTGAGCGCAGTACATCAGCATGGGCTCAGTGTTCTCGACCTGCACGTTGAAAGTGCCGACTGGAGAGCCGTCTGTGACTCCTGGAATAAAACCAGAATGAACGCCATTTGGCATCATATCCTGGAGAGGGTTACACGGGGCCTGGGTGTTCGCGGCCTGAGTGACGGTATGGTTGTTGGGCCAGAACTGGAACTGAACAATGTCGCCAGGGTTTGCCTTTACGACCTCAGGATAGAAAAGTAGAGACTTCTCACGAGTCGGGCTCCCGACGACAACGGGGATGACCTTGGGCGTTGGGGGAGCGGGGCCTGGTGCAGGTGGTGCCTGACGCTCTATCGAAGATGTGAGCCACAAGCTACGAAGGTAGAGTTTTGTGTTGTAAGTGAGAAATACTTACCACTGAGAGCGGCAGCTAAGGAGCCTCCTACAAAGGCAGAGAGATAGACGGCGACGATGCTGAACTTCATCTTGAATACTTTGACACTCGATGATCCTGTACGGATTACTGGCTGGCACGGCTAAGACGAGGAGACGCTGCTTCGATATGATGACACTGAAACTACTACAAAGGACAATATCCTGCAGGAGAGGGGCAGAGGACTCTATGATATTTAAGCTAACTATCATAGCATGCAGGATCTCAAACTATCAGCACCTTCGGGACATGCACGGCGACACCACTCACCCGCTAATACGAACCTTTTCTCTCTTAACCTTCCGCACTGGGCAAGCTTCTCCCGATCATGAGACTGAGTAGACTTAAAATCGCACAGTTGGAGTAATCGAGTTGCCGTGATCAGCAGGGGTAGCAGCGAAGCTTGGGCATCTCAAATGATGAGATGACCCGAGTTGTCCAATGAGAGGTGTCGGATCCCTCAAACGTGGCATGTTTCGTTTCTTCGGCCGCACTGCATACCGAAGCATGCTTAGAAATTGGCACCAAGGAATCAAGGGGGATTAAACATTAATCAGAAGAGGGGGATATCATCTCGCGCTTCTTGGCCAGGAGGGGAGAGGCCGGTCAATCAAGAAGCTGTCTCCTCGTGTCAGGTCCTTTCGGCGTTGGGACGACAGTGACCAACAAGGGAACGAAGTTGCGGGCAACGCGGGCAACATCCAAGCTTGCCATTGAGCCGGCAGTCGGCTGGCTGAGTATTAAGCCTGGAGTTCTTTCACGATTACCAAGCTAAAGCTCGCAAACGGATGAAACGGTTGCGGCGTCGTTTCGAGAGATTGAAAGAGGCGTGGGCCCCCGGCTGGCCCCTTCGGTCCCCCCTTGACCGTGGGGGATCTCCGAGCGTTGAAGCTGGCACTGGCGGGAGATCGGCACAAACAATTAATAGTTTGCACATATCGCTAGGGTGTTTGCGGCTCTGAAATTTGTGCTTCGTCGCGCGCGGGAGACGAATTGAGTATTGACTCTTAACGTCAGGAGAGCTTTTACGCTGAAATCATCGGGAGATCGACGTCAACGGGAACGTGCGCATGGTATGATTGTGACACCTACGATTTTATTGCCCTGTTTGAGAACAGACCTCGCCTACCCTTAACTGTCTATAGGAAGTGCTTCGCCATTATTCCCAATTCCAAGCCGCACTATTGCACAGTGATACATGCTTAAGTCGTTAACTACCGGAAGTTCCGGGATCTATAGTAACTCTACTTCTCCGCGTCTCCGTCTCTTTTCGTCTGACCCAGAGTCTGGCCGCCTTTCGTCTTGTCCTTCTTAACGCTTTTCCACTCGATGAAGACACACCCAAAAACTGTCAAACACCCGAGAACAGTGGCAATCAGGAAGACGTTTTGGAGAGCCTTGTTGTAAGCTCCGATAATGCCGTCGACTGAATCCGGGTAGATGCTCCGCATCGACTCCACTAGCCCGGAACCGCCCGCGTCAATAACGACTGCCGGGTTTACGTTGGGGACGTTTTGGCTCAACTCGGAGATTAGTCTCGAATGGAAGATGTTTTGAGCGACAGCCAAAAACACGGTGCCACCGAGACTTTGCAGGAAAATCAAGAGAGACGTGGCTAGGGCTACGTCACGACCTTGGAACACGGTCTGAACTGCTATCAACGTCTGCTGCCCGCCCAGACCCACGCCCACTCCTAAAAGAACAAGTGAGGCAATCCTACAGCGGTCGTTAGCATCTGGAGTGCGTTGAAAATTCGGGGCAAGTTAAAAGAATACCAGAAGCCTGAACTCGTGTTTTCGTCAAACGAGTAGATCAACCCCGTTCCGATAGAGGCGATAACAGATGAAGCGATGAGTTGCGGGACGTAGTATCCGATGTGACTTGTCTGACAATTGATCAGTATCACGGTGTAGCGACCCAAGGATGGACAGTACATGTATTATCAACTTACCAAGAATCCAGAAAGTATTGTAGCCACTGACAAGGAAACCGATGATGCCAATAAGTCAATGCCACTCTGATAGGCAGAGTGATTCTTGACTGCTTGCAACCAGATGGGGATGTAGTACACTTCGATGAAGAGAAGTGAGAACAGAAGAAGCATAAGCCAGCAAGCACAGGCCATAGACCTCTGGAAAAGGATGCGAAATGGGACGGTGGCTTTGTCGCCCTCGCGGAACTGGACTAGTGCCCATAAAAGGAAGCAGACCGCAAAGAGGCACCAGCACAGGATTATGCGCCAATTACTCCAGGGATATTCAGTTCCGCCCCACTGCAAGGCGAGGAGGAGACAGATAATCCAAGGTATGAGGAGCAGTGTCCCTACCAAGTCAAAGTTTGAAATAAACTCCCGCACGCTTTGTGTCTGCTTCTTCGGCGGCGTCGGTAGCTTCAGGAGGAAGAGAACCACCAGGAAGGTCACACCGCCAAGAGGAAGGTTGATCCAGAAGCACCATCCTGATGTGCGTCAGTGTCCTGCTACATCACATGATGAGGGGGTGAAAGAAGTCTTACTCCAAGTAGCCTTATCAACAAAGACGCCGCCAAGAGTCGGCGCTATGCACTGCGAGATTCCGCCCGCCGCGCCAACTGCTGCGGTGAACTGCGGGCGTCTGTGAAGAGGCACACTTCTAGCCAAAATCTGAGTCGCGATTGGATTAGCCAATAAGGTTCCGTAGAAATCGAGAAACGCCAAGCCTTATTGGAAAGACTTACAATGAGAGCGCCGGACATGAGTCCAGCGGCACCGACTCCGGAGATGGCTCGGCCGACAATAAGAACCACGGAGCTCGGAGCCACGGCGCAGACAATGGACCCCACCTCAAAGATGAAGAGAGTAACAAGGAAGACCCATTTGGCGTTGAACTCGGCGTACAATTTGCCGAAAAAGAGCTGGAACGAACACATGGTGAAGAGGTACGCGGAGCCATACCACGCTACATCCGGTAAAGACTCAAACTCGGATGTGATTACCGGGATCGCAGTTCCCAAGATTGAGCGATCCTAGATGAGGATGGGTGCTGTCAGCCATGTGTGTGCTGCATCGACAGGGAGATACAATGCCCCAGAAAGCAATTGACACTTACAAGTCCAAAGCACAAAACCGCAAGGAATAGGCCAATTGTGATGATGGCCAGGCTCGCACCAGTGGGATACTCTTCTGCGGTGGCATCTTGGGCTGGAGAGGTCTTCTCTAGTTCTGCATCGCTGAACTTCTCTCCACTCGCTCGTGGTATCGAGAGTGAGGTTGTCGTTCTAGGGACACTGTTAGGTCATCAAGCCCGGAACGTGTCTCCGTAGCCCCCATAGTAGCTGCAGTGTGAACCCACCTTGGTTCGACAGGCATCTTCGCTGATGGTACCAATGAAATTGGTCAAATAAAGTTGCAAAGCGTGGTGTGGTTGCTTGTGCGAATGCCAAATGTTCAATTTCTCTGCCCAGCGACTATTTCCTTAAATACAATCATTCTTCATGACTATTATGAGACTCATCGACTTTGAATCTTTCACCTTCTACACATGCAGATCCCACATCATGTTACCGGTCCGTACGGAGAATAACACGGGAGACATGTCAAAGTCAGCATGCCAAGCCGGGTTTAGCGCCAGTAGCCACACACAAAAGTCAAGATCCCTCAGCCTTAATCATCTTTAGTGTTACGCGTAAAAATCACAACAAAGTCCCTAAAGCTCTGCAGATGAAGACTGAGTCTGACACACGCAACAGTGTCAGGATCACTGGTGCTTACAGTGGATACTCGGACGCAAGAAAAAGATCTTTGGATGTTGGCGGCCGCCATTTACAAAGGAGCTTGGGCCCAGGGCAGCAGTTTTGGTGTGAAAAGTCGGATGTCGGGGCTTAAAATGACCTCCGACACCGTCCTCCATAACGGTGACGAAGCCAATCAAGTAACCCCCTTACATTCCGATAATCCATCTACGGATCTTAAGAATGCACCGGCCCCCGGACTCTTGCATGCCGTCCGTTCCATCACTCTCGAGCTCCCTCGCCCCAACATTGCCATCTAATTCGCGCCTAACCAAAGTGCCCTTACTTTCATTCACATTCTCTGTCTCCATTTTCTGAGACGCGAATGCTCCGTAAATATCTCCAAGCTCGGGTTGTTGTTGGGAAACATTACAAACGATGTCGCCAAACGATGACGCCAGCAGCCCCGACTTTGCGCATAGTCACACAAAGAAGTCCCGAGCTTGCACCAATTGCGCTCGCCTCAAGATACGGTGTCGGTGGCAACCGGGTTCGGAACATAGCGAACACGCCGATTGCATACGGTGAGCAGTTTTGCCTCTGTTGGCTACAGTTGTGTGTATCAACCAGAGCCCGCTGACATCACTGGTATGCCAAGCTGCTCCCGCATGAGCATACGATGTCAAGTACCGGAGCCGGTCCCGAGGAAGAAACGGGGAAAGTCAAGGTCAGTCCAGAGACCCGATGAATTCACACGGAATGTGTTTTGTTGCATCCTGCTTTTCAAGCTAGCTGCAGATCACCCGGTCCTCCTTCTCACTTCTCCTTACTGGGGTCTTTGAGCGGAACATGAAGCTAAATGCCTAATCCGTAGTCGTGTAACTGAGCTGGAGAAGAAGATAGATGGCCTAGTCAGCCTTTTCCAGACACAGCAGCAGTCAGGAGAGACACAAGGGCAGCCGGCAACCGGGCCCAGCCCCAGCAGCGAGGACCCGCGCTTGATGCCATGCACTGGGTTGACTATACCAGGCGTCACCCATCAAGTAAGCACAGACGCATCTCCAAGTGTCAATAGTTCAGCCGGCACCCAAGATTGTCATTCTATGCCGACTCCAGAGGCTGGGTTTCCCAGCGGGTCCTATCAGCTCTTGCCGGGGTTCACTATCGCTGCCGAGAAGGCTGAGGAGTACCTTTCCATCTACCGGACGCGTATGGTTCCCAACTTCCCATTTGTGCCCATCGAGCCCGAAGTTACAGCAAGGGACCTCCACAACCAGAAGCGATTTTTGTTCTGGTGTATTATGCAAGCCATTGTACCCCAGACAGCCACAGTACAAAAGTCAGTCGACGACTGGGTCCGCAAGCATGCAGCTATGCACATCATAGTTCATAAGGAGAAGAAGATTGAGCTGCTCCAAGGTCTGATTGTCTATGTCGCCTGGTAAGTGGTAATACCGAGTCGTTTCTCGATGCATTGACTCCGGGCCCGTGCTGTTGTCGAAGCGTGATTATCTGACAATTTTGTATCTTACAGGGGCGATGTCCACCTACAGATGGGTATCAATGCAAACACTCTCCTCCAGCTAGCCATCGGCCTAGTTATGGACATGACTATGTACACTCTAGCAGGCCCCGTGAGTTGGATGCCGAAAACCTTATTGAATGATGCGTGGGCAGTCTTGGGACGGGGCGGAAAACAATTCGAAGCACCAAAACCAACTCTTGAAGAGCAAAGAGCAATTCTAGGCGGCTATTTTATTGCGTCAAGGTGTGTTACCTTTCGACCGCTTTTGTATAGTGAAGCGTAGAACGAAACTGATCATCTTTGCCAGTGTGCCCGCCGCCATAAGGAGGCACTCGCAGATACAGTATACGCCCCAGATCGCACGATGTTCCAAAGCCATTCGCGAGGCGGACGCTATACCGACAGATCAGAATCTACTTGCCCTCGTTCGCATGCAACATCTAGGGGACCGCATTCGCGCTGTCTTTCCAAGCCCAGATAGAGAGGAAGGGGAGCCTCTACCCATCTTTCGGGAACACTTTAGTGCGGTGCTAGCATCACTTCGCAAAGAGATTTGCTCTCTCGAGTCTGAAGAACCCGCCATCAAGAAGGAGAACCGTAAGTGAACTTCTCGGCAACAAGGAAACGAGCCCACAGTCAATTATACTAACCGTACACGTCGTATAGCAATGGTTTGGGCACACTACGGCGCACTGATGGTTAGACTATACGAACCATGCATCGGCATGCGAGGAGCCAGCCCTTCGGAGGCTATGTCCGCCATGGAGCAGTTCAGTAGGACCGAGTCACTCTGGTTCTGCCTCCAGGCGATCCAGATCGCCATGGACGCGCTACTCGCCATCCCGGCTGAAGCATTTGCATATCTACCCTTCAACACCGTTGCAGATGTAGCACATACAATGATGTCTTCGCACCGACTGCTGTTGGAAGACTCGGCAAGTGATTGGGACGTGATGCTGGCGCGCCAGAAGCTTGACCTTCCCGATATAGCGCGGCGGTTGGCGGATCGGTTCGAGGAGGCGGACAACGTGGCGCTGATCGTCGGGCAAAAGAGGCGGATCTTCGAGGACGAGAGCTCGCGCTGGGCGAATTATGCGTACCGGGCGAGGTGGATCCGTCAGTGGTACCTGAACAAGGTTGTTGGGCAGCCGCCTCAGGAGCAGATGGCGACGGAGCACCAGCAGCAGCACGAGCAGCAACAGCAGCAGCAGCAAGCGCAAATGGTTCCTCACGTGGGGATGATGACAGATCCGAACATGTCTTGGCTCGGGGGAGTGGCGATGGACCAGTCGTTTTGGGAGATTATGATGCTGGATGGGCCTGGACAAATCCCCATTGACGCGTCCATGCTTTTGCCGGACCAGGCCATGTTGCCCGCCATGCAGACTTAGCATCGCGCCTATTGATCGGCTAAGGGCTTTCACTTTCACGATTTTTGCCCGTCTGAATCTTTCGATGATTACCCTCGTGTGGTGGCTTGGCTTTGGCAAGAGATAGGAAAGATTCCGGCACAGGAAGGTGGCAGTTTTGCAAGGGTATGGCGGGTCTGAAGACACTCTGAACTCAAGCCCAAACAGGATTTGATGCATTTGGTAGTTTAAGGCGCGTGTCTCTGCTTTGTGAGCTGGTTCCACTCTCGAAACGAGCGGGAGTTATATCAGTTTGTCGTTGTTTCTGAGAAGTGCTCGGAATAATCTAGAAGAAGAATTGGGTACAGCTTACGACAACGTTTCTAAATGAGGATAGCATCCGTGGAGTCGGGAAATACATACGTCGTCTCAAGTTTTGCCTTGATCTCGACATGACTCAAGCTGTGCTAAGATTGCAAGCCGTATACGGTCTTAGTGAGAATGCCTATGCGATAGTATGTCATCTCCTATTCATGGGGTTTATTGAGGGCGAGTTGGGAATCTTGCTGACAGAACCTAGCATTCAATAGTATGAGGGACACGTACATCTACCTTACTTGAGAATAGTTGTACAGAAACGTTCTGATTGTACGTTGTGAACAGCCAGAGTCCTCAACGACAAAATCGCGCACCTTGCCTCGCCAGAGTGGTGATGGCTGTTCAACACCAACAACAGCAACAGTTGGTGAAGTAGTATTCACCCCGGTTCACGAACGGCAGGGTGGGCAAGGTTTGTTACTAGTCGTCTTGGAAGATTTCCACTTTATTGAATGCAGTCCAGCCGGTTCCCGCATTCATGCCGTTCTCTCTGCGCATTCCCGATTTTAGTCAAAATTCCTACGCGATAGCAGGGAGATCTGTACCCGAAATCTCTTTGCTGATAGGTGGAAGAGAGACGAGGGCGAGAAAGGTTTACTGGGCTCGCATGTTCCCTTGCCGCAGTTGAAGGGACAAGATCTACGGTAAGTACGCTGCCTTGCTAAATATCCCTCTCATCACTTGCAGCTGCCAACTAAAGGGCCACGGACACGTCTTCTCGGCAGCTAAATCAGTGCTACATCCCGTCGGTCAGGTCTGTGGAGATGTGATTTTCCTAGATGCGGATCATCGTACCCGCCAAGTCTCTCGGCGGTTAATAATGCAGTCCACATTACAAGTTAAAAGTCGCTGGTGATTGGCTTACTTCGCGAGGTGAAGTGTATGAGCAACTCTGACTAGCCACCTGATAGCGGTCCGCCGTCTCTACACGCCAATTTTCATCTCCGGAACGGTGGGGGGGGGGGGGGCGTGATTCCGTTCCGAGTCGTGGGGCCATAGCCCAAGAAGCGGCCAAGGAATCTGAGATACAGAGTGCACACCCGTGTTGTAGTGAGCGTGGGGTTCGAGGCTGTGATCCTGGCGTGGCCGGGGTCCCGGTCCTCGGCACGCTGGCGTCAAGAATGGACGCTCATGAATCTTGAGCTAATGGAATTTACAGCTGCTAGTCTCTTGATTTGAAGAAGTGGTCTTGTTAAGCTAGCTAAACTTTCATTTTGATCTTGTACTTGCGGATATGGATCACGGGTGAAAAGCCAAACCCCGCAAAGTCTGTCCGGAGAATCCGGGGTAGCTAATTGAACTCTGGTGAGCCATACTATTCATACGATAGACCCTATCACACCCGGGTGATTGGGGATTCTGAGGGACCGAGGAATGAACTCAAAACGATATGCAAATTGCTCAATAATTTGGAGACTTGCCTCTTGTTATTTGCTTGACTCAATCGCCACATATGAAAAAATGAAGGATGCATCAGTATCAACCTGCCCCTAATGCTCACAGCCATATATGTACCCTGAATCGGGCCGCAAAACAGTCAAACCTTCTCGATCTGAAACCAATGTTACCGCTAAACCAGCGTGATCTACATCAAGAGACTGATGTGGTCTTTACCATGAAAAGGGAGAGCGCCAACCTCCTCAGCTTTGATCTCGGCACCCCACCCTACCCGTTCAACCAGTGGGGCCGGTTCTAGTTAACTAGTGCAACGTCATGTATATTTCTTGTGCTCTGATTGGTCTTCACTAAGGCCAAAGGCCGGTCTGGGAATAGTTCGCTTGGCTCATTCGCAAGTATCTGGTTCACTGCTTCTTGAGCTTGACTAGGGCATGGAGTGTGGTGTGTTAAAGAACTGCTGTTTTGAGTGTAGACATATCGGTGCTGGGAAAGCTTGCATCAACACCGACACAGCACGACAGATCTAGAATAGCGAACAATCCATTATCATAACGATATTAAAGGGATATTCTCTGAACTTTGGTCTATGTGAGGTGGTTTCTAAAGTTTATTCCGCTCTTCCAAGATAGTACCGTCACAACGTGCCGGCGCTGAAGTCCCCCACCTCGGAACCCCCTCGTCCCCCACTCCGGCAGCTATGCAGTTTAAGGTTGCATGGTTGTGACCCCCAGTGGATATTCCGGGGGGGAATCTGGGGTAGTGTTGGTGCAACACTATTCGGCCCAACCCCAGAGAGTCAAGTTAGACAATGGAAGGGAATTATTGAAAAGGACGGTGTAGAAGCGAGAGTTAGGAATCATACGAACATCAGACCATCTCACTCTGATGATTTCGGGGCGATTCTCCAAAGGTCGACGTACACATTAGACACCAGTAACCAACTTGATCAAGAAAATCAACCCACTTTCACCCAATCAAGAAGGCAGAAGAGAATGTCGGGCTGGAAGTATGCGTTTGCCCTAAGCAAGGAGGAAGTCGCAAGGGCAACACCGCCTGGGACGGCAAGGTTGATAGGTGAGTTCCTCCACTATTGAACCGAGTCATTGTTGGAGCCGCGCTGGACCAGGCAATGCGTTATTGATACTCCACGACGCGATTCTTGTGGAACAATACTTGGACTATTTGCTGACAACTGAGTTTCTTCGCAGTTGAAGACGAGTCTTCCGGCGGGTCACCAAGATCTTCTAGCTCTCTCAGACGATTCCCACAACCATCAGAAGACCCAGCAGACCCTCTCAACTGGGCACAATGGCGCAAATTCGCACTGCTGTTGACTGTCTCACTATACTCTTTTGCCGGCAACTTCACCAGCTCGGGCATCGCACCGGCGTTGCAGCTATGGTTCAAGGCTTTCCCGACAGACGTCAGGCCTTTTAGTGACCTCACATACTTTATAGCGGTGCGTCCATTCCTGTCTTCACACGCTGGTCTCGGGTTGGCGAACTCAGCTGATGATGGATCTGCTTCTTACAGGTCAATATTCTGTTTCTCGGAGCGTCCAATATTTGGTGGGTCCCTCTTTCGAACATTTTCGGTCGACGACCTGTGCTGCTGGCCGCAACGCTCCTCATGACAATCGGCACTATTGCGTGCGCTGTCTCAACAACCTACAACGGTGTTCTCGTCTCCAGATTGTTCCAAGGCATTGGAGCCGGTGCGTCAGAGTCTGTCGCCCCGGCACTCATCGGAGAGGTCTTTTTCGTTGACGAGCGAGGGCGTGCCATGGTAAGATAACCCCCAAACCTGTGCGATGAAATAGAAAAAGAGAAGTGTTCTTTTGCTGACGTACCAACTCTCTCACTCAGGCCATCTACACCGTCTTCCTCGCGGGCGGCTCTCTAATCGGCGGAATAGCGGGCGGGTATATCGGCTTCCAACTAGGCTGGTTCTATATCTTTTATGTCGGCATAGCCCTCTCTGCCGCCTGCTTCGTCACCACCCTCTTCTTCGTCCCGGAGACCCTCTATGACCGCGTCGTCTCTCCCAACGTCGACGCCGCAGGCCAGTCGCCCATTGACGAAAAGGGCATGGAAAGCCACGTCGAGGACGCGCAGAGCCAGGTGCTAGACTATCGTCCATTCACCTTCGGGCGGTCCCTGGGCTTCACCCACTATCGCGGCGGCGTCTTGAGCAACTTCCTCGCCCCCTGGAAGACTTTGAGACTCCCGGGCACCTGGGTAGTCATGTTTCACTACGCAGGCCTCGTCGGCGGCATCGTCACCATCTCCACGGTCGGGCCCCAGCTCGTGGCGGCACCGCCGTACCTCTGGGGCGCCAACGTCGGGCTGATCAACATTGGAGGCGTCATCGGAACCGGCTTGGGCGCTTTGTACACGTACCTCCTCGCCGACGCTCAGCTGAAGAAGAAGGTCAAGAGTTCGGGCAGCGGGCTGGCGGAAGCGGAGAGCAGGTTGCCGACCATGTTTCCCTCGCTCGTCATCGCCACGGGCGGATTCTTCGTGTTTGGCTTCACGGGACAGTACCCGTCCAAGAATGGCTGGGTCGGTCTCTCTGCCGGATTTGCCATGGTGTCGTTTGGTCTTATGCAGCTGCCATCCGTCGGCTTCAACTACGTAAGTACATGCATCCCCCACACGCGTGCTTTCGTGTCAAGCAATGAGATTTCTAACCTGAGAAACTATAGCTCATCGATGCGTATCAGCACCTTGCTGGCGATTGCTTCGTCATGGTCACGATCATGAGAGCAATCATCGCATTTGCGTGGACTTTCTTTGTCGCGCACTGGGTCGAGGAGAAGGGAACTTCGGAACCTTTTGGTGTATTTGGAATGCTGATGGGAATTTTCTCTCTTTTGACGATTCCTCTATGGCTGTTTGGGAAGAGGATGAGAATTGCCACCAGAAAGCTGGTCGAGGCATGATCAACATGCGTGTTTTTTATGCGAGTGTTACCCTTGTGTGATAAGCTGCTTCCAAAGATGCGATATGTTCGTATGGTATCACTCAGGATATGACACCCCTTTTTTGCTCTGTGTATGGCTCCGTTCCAAAGACTTCGCACTCGAAATTGTAGGATCATTTTAGTGTCCTGATTCGGAACTTCTGGGAAAGCACTGAATATCTAAGGACCAACTTCTTTGAGAAAGTTGGTATCACGCGGTAACAATACTTCTCTTGGACCGACGGATAGCGCGAGGGTGAGTTGAGAAGTTCAATTTTTAACACCGAGCCAAAGTAAGTACGTAC